TGTTGTGCAATCCATTACTGGAGCTTCAAACACATTAGAATGGGATCTCCCAACATTTTGAGAAAAGGAGCTCATGGCCTTATCCTCAAACTATGAGATCTTTGGAGGTGGTTGAAGGTAAAGTATTTTATTAGGCTTATGGGGTTGAGGTAAAGGAGAGGAGAGTTCTTGAATACACTCTACTACTGATGAAAATTCTGGATAAGTACAAAGAAGAAGAGGTGATGGCAGAAGGGACTGGTGGTAGCAAATGGTGCAGCAGTCTGTGAGAGTTAGAAAACTACAAAGTTTGAGGGTGTAGTCTCCACACAAGACAGCTCCTATTTCTGACACCACTACAAGTTTGGGGGGTTCCCAAGACTACTGTTACTTCTGATGCCAATTTTAAGTTTAGGGTTCCCCAAGACCAGCCTCAGATTCAATAATTCACTACAAGGACACATAATTCACTAAAAGTTGTTATGACTGAATTGTGCCCCCCCAGAATACATGCTGGAATCCTAACCTCTGTATCTGTGGAAGTAATCCTGTTTGGGAATAGAGTTTTCTTTATTATGTTAATAAGGCCATGTAAGTGTAAGGTGTATCCTAAACATAATCACTTCTGAGTAACAAGGAGCATAGACACAGAGACAAGGGAGCACAAATGGGGGAAGACAGATGCCACATGAAGATCGCTAAAGACCTGAGGAACATCAGAGCTACAGAAGCTAAAAGAGACAAGGATCCCTCCCTGCCAGAGCCAACTAGAGAGAGCCTTTCCCTATAGCTTGTGCTCTGAATTTGGACTAGCCTTCTAAAATGTGAGAAAAGTTTCTGTTCTTTAAAGCCACCCACTTGTGGTATTTTTGTTACAGCAGAACTAAGAAACTAAGACACCTACGGTTATAGTTTTATTACAGGGAAAGGATACAGATTAATCAACCAATGGAAAAATTGCCTAAGACAGAGTCCAGGGAAGTGCCAAACATGGAGGCTCCACTGTCAAACATGCAGTCAGGATGTGTTACTTTCCTGGTATTGATGTGTGACAATATGCATGGAGTACTGCCAACCAGGGAAGCTTACCTAAGCCTTAATGTTCAGAGTTTTTATTGGGGTGCCATTACCTAGGCAGAGTTGCTGGGTGGTGCAAAC